CCTGAGCCTGCCTTCCAAAATGTCCTGGGTTCAGCAGTAGCAGTCATTTTTCTCCTTCTTGGTAGCTGGTGCAGTGCTGTGTTTTGACTTTCAGCTCGGGAACAGAGCTGATAGTGATGTTTTGGTTTGGCCAAGGACTTTGTGAGCCTCATGCTCTGCCGGGGGGAGGGGAAGCCAGGAGGAAGCAGAGACAGGACACCTGACCCAAACTGACCAAAGAGCTATTCCATACCACAGCACATCATGCCCAGGATGTAACTGGGAGTTAGCCGGAAGGGCTGGGAGACTGCAGGGTTGGAGGAGGTATCGGTCGGAGCTTGGTCGGGCTTGGGGGGTGAGTTATCGGTCAGCTGGTGCTGAGGTGTTGTATTCTCTTCCCTTGTTATTTCCTTTTTCATTATTATCATTGGTGGTAGCAGTAGTGATTTGTGTTATACCTTAGTTACTAAACTGTTCTTATCTCAACCCGTGGGAGTTGCATTCTTTTGATTCTCCTCTCCGTCCCTCCGGGAGCAGGGGGAGGGCAAGAAAGGGGGGGAAGTGAGCGAACGAATTACCTGACTGGGTTTAAACCACGACACAAAACTTGGGTGGTGCAGTCAGAGCCTTTGCCAGTGAAGGCCGAGGCAAAGAAGTCATTCAGAACCTCAGCCTTCTCCAAATCCTGTGTAGCCAGTTCTCCTGAGAGCTTCCTGAGGGGGCCTATGTTCTCCCTAGTCTGTTTTTTATTTGCTATTCTGCCGCTGGTCTCCTGTCAGGAGTGTAGCTAAAGGGCAAAATAGATTTACACACTGGTTAATGCTTATGCTGAAAGAAATTTTGTAAGGAATGTCTGTTTGGTTCCTTATTCCTAAAACATGCTAGATGCTATCATGTTAGTGCTCTGGGGTAGTATCTATTACTGTTATTTTCTGAATTAAAATAAATAGTAATCAAAATTTTTCCTTGCTTCAGTGAGTGATTCTATTTGAGAAAATAAATATTTCCTTTTTTTACCAAGATGCAGCACCAGTTTCTCAAGGGAAATGCTCTGTTTCTGCTAAAGATCAGGTGAAAACAAATGCTGTTCTTTATCCCCAGATTCAGCAGACCTTTGGCTGGTTCTGTTCTGTGGGACAGAGAGACCTTGGAAATATTTAAATACATCACGGGGATGAGCATGGTTAAAGAATAAGTATTGTCTGGTTCCCTTTCATTCAGGGATGTTTATTACAAACAGGAGTATGAAAAGTGGTACAGGGATATTTACAGGAAATACTGACAATTAGGCAGAGACTGACACTGCAGAAAAAGTAGAAAAGGTGGGAAGAGAGTGATGTGATAAGTCAACCTGCAAAAGTAAGCATATGGCTTGAATATTTTTCATTTCCTATCCTACTTATTGCTGGATTGCCTCAGAAAACCATCAGGACACACAGGAGTGTGGCAATGGTGAGACTTTTAAGTTATAATTTACTCCAAGCACCATCAGCAAAAATGGATAAATAATTTAAAAAAAAAAAAAAAGCAAGCTCAGCTTTTTTAGGCATTTTGTTTATTTTGCTCAGGGAAAGAAGACAACTGGGGACCAAGGCAGTGCAGACTAGTGCCATAAACTCATTTTGTTGAAGTGCACAGCTATTAAAGTGACAGTTGGGAAAGTTCTTTGGAAAGGAAGGGAAACTGAACCTGTTTAGCAAATATATTGATAGCTGGCAGAGACTATGCTTGTGATGCCCCAGCTACCAGTTAAATGTAAGTGCACAAATAAAAGTACATTTGATGGACTAATTAAACAGTTCAGTGAACAGCACTGGTATTTCTCATTTAATCTTATATGCACTAGCTAGATTTAGTTCACAAATGGTTTTGAGATGGTTCAAACCATCAGGCTAATTCTTTTCTTACACTACCAGATTTCAGGAGAGTTAAAAAAGCAGAGAAGGACACGTACCCTGGGGTCTGTCAGACTCCCCGAAAGTCTGCTTGTGCTTATTCCTGTATGTAATGATATATGCCCTCGGACCTCTCTTTTCTTTTACTTTAATCAATGTTTCTTTCAGAATATTATTTGAATAAGAGTAGAAGTAATGACTTTTTCTTTGTTTCTAGGTTTCTCTTTCTGTCCTTCATCACCAGTAATTCCTTTCTTTCTCTATTTGTATTAGAGCAAAGAGCAAACTGTGGGTGCAATAGACTAAAAAGTCTGTTAGACTTTTAAGAACTGAGAGACACAACACCAGTTTATATAGTTTCGGCTTATTTTGTTGGGTATTGGTTTTATTTCTGAATTACTGGGGAGTTTTTAGGATTAATAACATGGACAAATGCTAGCAGTTATAGAGGAAAATCCCAAAGTTTTTCCATAAGGATTTTTCTTTTTTGTTTCTGTCCCAGAGCATACTTTTCCTGAAGTTAATGGAAGTTACATGCATGTATTGGAGGTAAAGTATATCCCCAAAAGTTTTACTGGAAAATTTGACAATTCTAAAATAAACAGAGGGTTGTGGCAGCATGCTTCACTGAAAATAAATGCTCACTCTGTTAGCTCAGCTGCACTGGTGCAGGAAAGCAGCTCTCTTCCAGAGGCTCTCTTGTTGGATACCCATAGGACTTTGGCTCATTTACCATTTAACCACTGTGCTTGGCAGAAAATCTGCAAAGCTGCCAAAATGTGATCAGCTATCTAGGGAGTCTTGGTCCCCTCCAGTCTCTTGCCTTTACTTGAGGAGTTTGAGTCAGGGCAACCTCTACCTGGACTAAAGGTGCTAGTAGAGAGCAGACATTTGAATTGTGGCTGTGGTTATGTACAAAATACACATTTATTTTTTTAACTATACATAGTGAATTTTCTTTTCTCCAGAGACCAGCAACTGTGCGATAGTATATAAGAACTTGTGGAGAGGAGCAGAGTCTGAAACTTCCTTGTTTTCGTTCAGGCTCTATTTGATTGCTTAGTGTTTCCAAGTGGTTGCTGAATGATGCAGTGGAACCGGGCATTTGCTCTGATCATACTGTGACTTTCTGTAAAGATGGTATGCATACACTCTTTCACAAAGGTTAGCTCTTAACCTAAATCTAGTTTTTTTAGATTGAAAGTTTGGGATTGTTTTTTTCATTTTCAAAGCCTCAAAGAAGTCGGGAGTTGGCTGTTGAAACAGTAAAAAGTAAAGAAAAAGACAAGAATGAAGAAAAGTAAAGTTTTGTCATTTTCAGAAAGATTATTCCCCTTCCTTGTTTCCTTTCTGCCTGCAATACTAGCGTAGAATTAATACACCCTTTAGACGAAAAAGCTTCCTGTACTTACTCAAGAATACTGAATAAATCAGAGTTGGAGTAGGTATAGTTAAGCACTTTTTTTTCCTTATTTTTTTTTTTAGATATATAGCAACACTGTCCCAAAATCTTGTTTGCAAATTTTCAGCATTTTCAAGAAAATCAAATGTTTTCCTGTTTCAGCAGTGTTATTAGGAATTTGCTCTGAAGCTGCTGCTACAGTACTGCATGTTAATATCTAGCTCACTAGATAGTAGGAGAAAAGCCAATGTGTTCATGGAAACAGTGCTTCCTGAGACAAGTAATCAGCCTAATGTTGATGTCATGCTGCAATCAGACTCTAACAAGGTTTGCAAATATCTTGAAAAGAACGGCTCGTCTTTGAATGGCGTAGATCAAAGCCCAACTGGAACAAAAACCAAGTATGCTGCATGTCAGCTGCAGAATTTTGGTGATGTATATATACAGAATGTAATAATGATGTATTATACAGAATGTATAAGCAGGGGCGCCCACTATCACCACCGGCAGTAACAGCCAAATGGACTGGGGTGGTCAATTACTTAAAATCTTGCTACGTAACCACAAAAACTAAAAATGAAGCTTAAAAACCCATTATGCATCTCCAGAGCCCCAGACTGTCTTTTTAAAGCTTCAAGTCCATTTTTAATCCGTGCCAAAGTCTTTTTTAGACAAGATTGTTCTCAGGAACTTCTGTCTCTTCTTTGCCTTTCATGAGAATAGAATTAGGAAGGGGTAAGATGTAGAACAGTGGTTCAAGCAGAGGAGTAGTCTATAAACCCTCCCAGCTCTGCAACAGATATGCATGCTCTGCAACTGGGGAAGTCATTTGCTGTCTGTGTGCACTTATTTTTCCAACTGTGAAATGGGCAATACCTCATCTTTAACTGCAACGCAAGGCCTGATTCATTAATGTGTTTCCAGTGCACTTCAGTCTCTATGAGATGAATAGCTTGCACCCTGCATGAAAAACAGACAGCCAATGGAATAACATATAGTCTGTGTTGCACCAGACTAACCCTCTGGAAACTGTGCCTTTGAGGTAAAATCATTCACTTTTTTTCTGCTGTAGTGTTTCTATTACCTTTGAGGATTAGGAGGTTGTAGAAGGCTAAAGCAAGCTTCTCTATGCCTTGGCACCTCTGCCACCTTTGTGGCATGGTGAAGCCAACCTGCAGTGGGACGGGCATGCCATATGTGTTACATCTGCTTGTACTCTGGGTCTGACCTTCAGAATGGCCATACAAGAATTAAAATGTGTCATAGCAAGAAAGGACCTAATCTGGTGTTGTCTGCACTTGAAGCTAGAGAATCTCTCTTGGTGATGTTGTGCAGAGCTCCAAAAGCTGATGTAAGATGTGCATTTACTTCCTTGATGCGGAGGAAGGCAGCAGCAGTCTGGCTGGCATGTAAGGCAGGGAAGCCTATGTCTTAACCTATGAAACCCAGTCAATATTGCAGTATGAGATGACAGACTGTAATGCTACAGTCTGACAATTTTAGGCAAATTGGTTTATTCAGAGTCAAAATAAAAGACAATCAAAAAGCCTAACAATTAATACTTTACATGATGTCTGAGGTTTTGCTGCTTTTTGTGCCTTTTTTTTTTTTGAGAGTGAGAGAATGTTTTTCCTTTGCCCTAGACTTCCCTTTAGATGATGAAATCTGATAATGAGCCTGTGGGTCTACAGCTGATGGATATTTCTGTTTGTTCATGTTCACAGATGGAAGATCTTTCTGGAGCTTACCAGGTTCCCAACTGAATCCCCTGAAGCATTCTCTTGTAGTGTGATATGAGAGAGTGACTGCTTTCATTATTACCTGGATTATAGCTGTGCTTTCACACTCTATCAGCGCTTAAAGCCTAAAAGGAGAAGGATCTCCACAAAGGCCTCCAAGCCAGATAGACAAGCTCAAGTATGCTCAAAGAAGTGATATAGATGTCCAAAGCCACATTTCCACTTACAGAGACTGCAACAGGCACAGAATCCATCCTCCTGTTCTGCTTTGCAAGTCAAAGAATTGTATTTAAAATTTTGCCTAGTACTTTCTATCAGATAGAGAGTCAATAACCCTTAATGTCAGGTGGTCTTGGAAAGAGGTTAACAGACCGTATCTTAGGAGTTCAGCACCAGATCCTGGGAAGTTTAAATTTGCATCCCCTTGCAGAACACACAAATTTTTGGTAATCTTGAGAAGAATATATTAAATAAAACATCAAACACATAAAAAAATCTAAAATAATTGCATGACATTCCACTTTATCTCAACTAATAAAGTATTTCTAAGCGGGTCTTTTACCCTTGTAAAAATAAGCAGATGCTATGGGACAGACTTTCACTATGATTATGCTGATGCAGATCAAGAGACACCTTTGAACTCATTTTATTTATCTACAATTTACTTGGTTTTCACGTGGTGCTTTGGAAGAAAAATATTTGCAACTGCGATACCCGAGAGTAGTTAATGGAAATTTTAAAGGTGGGAAATAGTAACTAATCAGGTAAGTGAAGTTACTTTTTGTTTACATTCATAAACCAGGGTTTAGCTACAGATTTGGAGACTTCAGCTCCATCTCTTTATGGTGAAAATTCAAATTTGATTCTAAAATAACGGAGATTGTCAAGATCTGGAATAAAAATAATAAAAAAGAAAGAAGAGGCACCCTGTCAGAATTAAAGGGCATAGTGAAGACAAAATAAATTTTAACATGCATTTTTTTATGTTATTCTATGATTCTGGTAAGTTTAGGTTTTTATATAATTATGCTGAAAACTGCAGCGTTTCTGAGATGGTGTTGAACATTTGCCATGATTATTTTAAGCTTGTTTTCACTAATTTATCCCTGCTAGGACTGTACCATAACAAGAGACTTAAAGCTTTTCTATGTGCTTCGCATCTTGTCTGGCTCAGGAGAGCACCTTAAATATCTTTGTTTTACCTGTGCTATCTTCCTGAAGCCTGAAGGACTACTCAGTTACAATTATGCCAGGAAAATGTGTTCCGGTACATATATACCTTCTCTGTATTATATCTGTAATGGAAAATGATTGGAAACTGACATACACTGTCCTCCAGCAGATAATTATCTGATAAAATTGATACTTTGCTTCAAAATGCTTAAAAAATTATAATGTCAGATTGATGTTTATTCCTAAAAACATTCTGGAGAGCTTCCCCTTGATCTTAGATCAGTCCATTGTCAAATTCCTTAAAGGCCACATCATTTATAAATGATATGAACTGCAGATGTATAATTCATGTGGAGCATAATATAAGGTTTAAAACATTTGTATTAAAAAGGTAAGGTGATCCTATATTAAATCATATTTATGGCCCAATTTTAAACAACCAAATACTTCTGACTGAAGTTTGGCACTTTTTACTTTTTACTTTTTAGAATTTATTAAAAAAGAAAAGCAACTGTTGCAACGATGTTGGCAGACAAGAAGGCTCTTTTTTAAAACCCTTGTGTTGATCTGTCAGTATTTTCCATTAGCTACCCCTACACTTTCTGCAGATTGCTTTCTGCCACACTTTTACTAAATGTTTTGGGAAGGGCAAAGAACAATGTAGACTGCAGATTTCACCATTACTGTTTGACATTACAAGCTCAAGGTTAATGGCATTTCTTTGAGGATAAAGAAGAAAAATAACTACACTTTAAGTTAAATCACCTTGTGGGTATAGCCAAGTTGCAGGAATCCTAGAAGTCATTGCCATGCTAAAATAATAAAAAAAAGAGAAGATATCAAAAAGTCTGTATTTTGCTTTTTCTCTTCCTTTTTATTAGGTCTAAAGATTCCTCCTAAAAGCTTATTCTTGTTCTGCTGCTTAAAACCAACATTGCTGTTATCACCTTTTCTCAAACAACTTTTGATATATTTTGAGAAATGTAATAATGTTTGATATGATTATTATTTTCTTATTGTTAAATCCTTAGCCTTGATCTCATTATGAAACTTTTACCAATTGAAATAGAAAGTAAAAATTGATATACAGTGTCAGGTTCAAATGAATTGGAAGTTTGCTCATGGAGGCCTCTCTCCAGCAAAATGTAGATTCACCAGTGTCCAAATGCATAAATGGCCTTAAACTTTTTATAGCAGTGTCTTTAATTACACCTTTGAAGATCTGACAGCCATTTACTAATATGACATCGAACAGTGCTTCGGCAGTATTCTTGAGATTTGCTATCTTTGAAGTGGTAGCTAGAGTTATGCTGGCTTTCATTTAATAGTGAGGAAAAATTACAGTAGTTATTTCCGTATAACACAAGATAGACTTTTTTTCCACTTTGCCTTAGTGATACAAATTGTCCTAAAGTTGCTTTTATAGTTCATGGGCCTTAGACATTAATAGACTTAAGTGAAAACAGGCAAGCTTTCAGAAATGCTTGCTGCTTCAAAAACACCTTTTACCTAATAAAATTCCAATGCAATTATTTTGTCCCTCTCTGGTTAAGCACTTGCTTGCACCACAGAAGTGGGAACAGAATGGTGCCTGTCCTGGATTCAGCAGTAGCAGTCTTTTTTTTTCCTTCTTAGTAGCTGGTGCAGTGCTGTGGTTTTGACTTTCGGCCTGGGAACAGCGCTGATAACACCGGTGTTTTTAGTTACCGCTCAAATGTTTAGTCTGACCAAGGACTTTCTGAGTCTCATGCTCTGCCAGGGAGGAGGGGAAGCTGGGAGGAAGCAGAGACAGGACACCTGACCCAAACTAGCCAAAGAGGTATTCCATACCACAGCATGTCATGCCCACTGTATAAACTGGGGGCAGTTACCTATAAAGGCTAGATCACTGCTTGGTCTGGCTGGGTATCTGTCGGTGGGTGGTATTATATTCTCTTCCCTTATTATTTCTCTTATCATTATTATTATTGGTGGTAGCAGTAGTGGGTTTGTGTTATATCTTAGTTACTGGACTGCTCTTAACTCAACCCATGGGAGTTACATTCTTTCGATTCTCCTCCCCATCCCTCCAGGAGTGTGGGAGGAAAGGGAGGGGTGTGAGCGAGGACTGAGTGGCTGATTTACGATTCAGCTTAAACCACTATAGTGCCTCATCACTGGCATGCAGCTTTCAAAGCAAGTGAAAAGCAAAGCTGCTATTGCAATTCTGAAACTATAAACATGCTTCCTTTAGTGCAGGAAGAATTTTGCCCTTAAAAGAAAAAAAAAAAAATCCGTTAATCATAGAACCATAGAATAGTCAGGGTTGGAAAGGACCTTAAGATCACCTAGTTCCAACCCCCCTGCCATGGTTTATCACACAGTAAACCATGTCACCCAAGAATCTGTCCAATTTCTTTCCTACACTCTTTTCCCCTCACTCTGCTGTGTTACAAATCTTGCTTTTCCCGATTCTCAGAAAAGCTACACAGCTTATTGTCATGTTCTGCCTTTCCATAACACCACCCTGCCCTCAACCTGCTGTTGTCTTGATTTTCTTCTCTGGACAGGTTTTCACTCTTGTCACAATGGGATATGAAATTGCTTTTCCTTTCTTGTCCCAGGAGTACCTCCTTTTCCTGGCCTTCCGTTTTTAAGTCACTTCAAAATAGTACCTATGGCATGGTGGACTGAGGGTCCACAATGATGTTATCATGTTGTGTAGTCCAACATGCTGTTATCGTGTTGTGTGGCGCTGGGTAGCTTCTTTCATCTCCTGAGGACATTCAGGCATCAATCCTCATTCTTTAATGCTTGTGGCACTGCCTTAAGTTTCTGATATGTCCTATCATCAGCTGTGCACTCTAAGAGGGCACATAGGACAATGAAATGGGAAACACCTTCAGATTCTGCTGCTTGGTTTTCTATAACTCATATCTGATTGTGAAGTTGGAAGTTGTGTGGGTGTGTGGGATGTACAGCTGGGGAATATACAGAGCTTCCTTAAGTACAGTCCCTGAAGACTTGATGGGTGAATTGTGAAAATGCAGAATTGCCTGTGGTTGGTGAAGATGACACATAGGTAACCTATGGGGCAGACCAGGGAGCTGAGAGTAGGTAGCCTCAATTCAGGAGGGGCTGCATCAGACTCACAAAGGCAAGAAAAAGGGCATGTTGAAAATAAATAGTGGTGACTAAATCTTCTATAGAAAAACAGTCACTGCAGCTGAATGAAGGCCTGTTTCTGAGTGTGTCTAGTCCCAGGACAGCTCTGGAGCATCCCTTGAGACATGCTCAGTGCTGCACATTTAGACCAAAGTTGTAAGTACGAGGCACCAGGCTATCCTGAGCTATAGTTTGGGAAAAGTGGTGACAGGAAAATTATGATGCTTTAAAAGCCTCTCTAAGTCTGGCTTTAATCAACCCTTAAGATGGAAGTCATGATACCTAGGAACCAGGAAACTTCCCATTTGGAGGAGGTAGCTGGGAAGGTGTGCCTCCACTTGTTCAGAAGTACAGCATTTGCTGGTGGAGACACATATGGAAGCTAGTCTGAAAGGCTCCTTTATAAAGCATCAGCCTCTGCAGAGAGCTGGACCAGATTCCAGTTGATTCTGCAAAATTTCCTTTCCAGTGAAGAATCAGGATGCCCCCTTCAGGCTGCTGTGCTCATGTTTTAGTTTTGTTGCTTAAGCCCCCTTTCAAATAACTACATAAATATGTCCTTCATGCCATCCATGCTCAAAACTCTTCAGTGTTGCAGTAAGAACTCCAAGGAAGTAAAGGCCACCTCTGTTCAAAAGTGGTCATCTCCTTGGTTTCCATTGAATCCACCTGTTGCATTTTCCAAGACATAAGTAGTGATTATGGAATACCGTTTTGTTATTAGGATGTTGTACAGAAGTTCTTCTCAGTTAATAATAATATCAATAATAATTTTAAGACTGAATGTTTAGTGTTGTAAGCATTTAGGTTTCTCTGCTGAAATGGTACTACTGCATTTGTAATTTGACTGGTATCCACTAGTAATACTTGGGCTAGAAAAATATGCAATATGAAGAAGCAACAATACAGTTGTCATTATCTAGTTTTTACAGGTGATTTTTTCACCATAACTATTAAAGAATCTCTCTACTGTTATTTCTAGTTTCAGATGGGAAGCCAGAAGAGTTGAAGTTACTTTGTTCAAGATCACCCATCAAATTCTTAATCTGTGTCAGAAATTTGTGTCACTATAATGAGTTTTTATTGAGATAATAACCAAAATATGTCAGCAAATTAAAAAAATGGGATATATCACTGTATGTGTTTATTAAAGTAAGACTATACTAGATAACCTGATATTTTCATTAAATTTTTAAGTAACTCATTTTGTAGGCAAAGAAAATATTAGATTTTAGTCTATATGGACCTCTGTTATGAATTTGAAATAGTAGCAGGGAAAATTAGTTATAGTGAAGAAGATGGGATAAGTAGCAGAAATCTGAGATCGATAACAAATTGGCAAAATCTTTAGTCTTTTAGCTGACAAAGGTTACATATTAAATTTCCTTAGGATCACTCCTGAGGTTTTTATTACTTGCTATTTAATTAATACTTTTCACATAGGGAGAGTGCTAGTGAAAACTGTTCATGATGTAAAACTAAGTGACACTGGCAGTATGCAGGAAAGCAAAGATTTCATTCTGCAAGAACTGTTTTTTTCTTGAGGAAAGAAGAAAAAGAGGAGGAGCAGACTTTATTATTGCAACATGAAGGTTATGTGTTTTGGGGCCAATATAAAAAGGATTCCTGTTGTCAAGTAGGAGTTCACCATTTGGAAATAATGAAAGATATGTGTGCATTAGTCTTGGAGGTGGTTCTGTGTAGTTGTACTGCAAAGGCAGCAAAAAAGGCAAATAGGACTCCAGGGCTAATGAAGTGAAGTGTTTGCAATTGTGCCTGGGAAAATTTATCATTATTGTTCAAAGACCTGTGAGATTTAGTTTTAAATATCATTGAATGACTCTAAAATAGAATTTTAGGTGTGTATTTGACAGGGAGGTCACAAGTACAGGCAGTCTTTTTAATTTGTTTAATTTTGGTGAACAGTGAAAAAAAATAGTGATCATAATTTACTGGAAGCAAAACTGGTGGTTATCTCTAATGCTTGTGAAGGGCACCAGATCA